ACCAAGTCTCAGTGGAAACACACACACACACACACACACACACACACACACACATACAGCTATGCATTTGGACCATCACTGGAAGCAGATGTCCTCCTCCTCAGTTCAACCACTGTATTCATCACCTCACAAAAACTCCTCCACCTGCAGTCAGACCTCTCTGATCTAAACACACAGCATTCACCTGGGCAACATTCATATTGTCATGACGCCTCTACGAGTCACTGAACTGAGAAAAAAAATGTAAAGAAAGAGAACCAGAGAGAGATTAATGAAGGATCTTCACTCTCTCTCTGGGAGCTGACAACATGACGCAGAATGAACACGCGTTTGACAAAGCACAGCTCAACGACTTTGAACATTTACCTTGTAAATGACTCCCGCAAGAGAGACCACTCGGACTGTTGTAACCTTGAGGGTGGGGGTCAAAGGTCACCTTGGCTTACTGGAGCCAATCACTCAGAGCGGAAGGAGTCGTCCCCGCAGGACGTGCCGGTGAAGAAGGGCAGACATCTCTGCACTTAAAACGCGTCCCACTATGATGATGTCATTTGTCTTCATATGACAAACCCTATGAAGGAAAAAGATCAGGAGTTTCTAATCACTTTGCACTGTACCGTTCTGTAATGTGAACGTTGGCCATGTTGACAATCAAACATCTTGTTTGCTCGTATATTTAGTTTGTTTGAGTATTCATTCATCTGACCTATGGCACACATTTTTGTGAATGTCAGCATATCTTTTTTTTTTTTTTTTTTAAGAATCCAGTAAGAGTGAAGCTACAGTGAAGTCTGAGATACATATGTTTCATATTGTTTTGTATGTCCACATATTTTCTTAAATCTTTTTTTTTCTTTCTTTCTTGGCCTGTTGGGCGAGCACATGCATCAAGACTCTGGATGTCTGCAGTTATTGTTACGGCTCCCTGGCAGATAAAAGAAGACACAGCAGTCTTTGATGAAGTTCATCTTAAATGTGTAGACATACTGTAGTTTGTATCGGTGGCATTAGTCACAATGAAGAGCTAATACCTCCAGTCATTGGTGTATCAATATCAGGGGAGAAAGTAATCACTTCAAAAGGTTCCTAAAAGAGATTCTTTACAATGTCCTCAAAGAAAGAAATCACCCATGATGCCTCAGTGCAGTGTGACCACTCATAAATGATTGTATATGAGACAATGCAGATCACACCTCCTCTGTCAGGAGATTTTAAACTCATTGAAAGACTTTCTGACAATCACACATTTAACGTGCACTTACAGTGGCCTCAGGTTCAGAATGACTTGGGTCTTAAAATCAGAGCTTTGATAATGTTTGTTAAATGGACCAGTGTTTCTACCTGTGGATGAGCATTCCTGCTGTATTTTGTAAATGTATTTTTTACTTGTATTTCTTTCATAACAAGGACAAACTGATCTGTCTTCTGTTCATCATTGATGCTCTCTGTACCGTCATCGTCGGGGATGTTTTTGCTTCCCGGACCAAACAACAATATTTTAGCAGTTAGGATGGAGCAGTAATACTGAGATATAGTTGAATATCCTCACAGTGCAATTGGACACAGGTTAAGCGCAACCAAAGTTTATGAGAACAATGTGCCGTCCCTGGACTGGCATGGCTTAAAGAACTTCAAAGACTTTGGAGAGTTTGTGAATGTTTCTTTTTTTCTGTCCAAACAGTTGAACAGCACCAAAAGCACAGGATGGATATATAAACAAATTCATTTCTCTCAGAAATAAAAAAAACAACCTACGTGACTTCTATTTATACATTCAGATTCTGTGTCTTTGAAGTGCTCTTTGCATGTCTAACACAATTTTGACGGTGCTATGGATTATTTTTTTAAGTGCAGTATGTTTGCTATTTTCTTTCTTTCTTTCTTTATGTTGCATTATGTGTATGCAACTCAAAACATGTCAAATCTTAATGTACTGAAAATGTGAAAACAAATGACGGTGAGATAGCGTGGAGCAGTTTCACCTCCAGATCACGCGTGACAGTCCGAGTGTAGCTTTATGTAGTTTTTACTTTCATGACAGTGACCTGACATACCTGATGTCTTATCTTTTGTCTTAATTAATGCAGATGACTTATTTTTGTATTTGATTTCAAAAATGAACCCTTTACATGCGCAGAGACCAAATTATCAGCCCGCGTGCCTTGAAGTATCATGCTGACCAACCTGTGTGAAGGTAGCCTTAACAAACTGGATCTTAATTAAAACTGCAGGCAAAGTCCAGTTTCGTCATACCTGACTCTGATTTTGTTTCTGTACTGTGTACATAATGACTTTGTTTTTTTGTCTGCCTCTGTCTTTTCTACTATTTTTGATTCCAAAAATCCTTAATAAAGGTAAATTATATACATTTGAATACGATCATTCATTTATTTCTAATGGCCTTCGTCTTTGAACTTTGTTGATCTTGTGTTACTGTATTTTAGCAGATTCACCACAACTTCCTCTCAAATCTCTCACATATAATTCCTTCGATTGTCAAAATATTACACTCATATACAGCATTGAGAAAGGTTTTATTGTCCACAGGAGCCGACACAATGAAGATTATCAAAAGCAAATGCAAAACAGTACAAAAGAAACATGATCAAACAGTAATTAGACTACTTATGGTTTCAAATGAATCCTCTATACTACGGTTGGAATCACTTCATCACTTTGACACATTTTACAAAAAACGTTTCTGCTTTTACTTCTGCATTATTCAGTGGAAACGCTCACAGCAAGTTTGCAAAGATATTTCTTAAAGCTGCAGGAAAAAAGACAATCAGATTTTCTTGCATTTCAAAATACAACTTTATGCGATGCTCGCTAATAACAGAAACACTGAAGTGAAAATAAACAGAAGTTGAATGAATGGTGGCTGAACTGTGATCAGTGGTTTAAGACATTTTCCCGTGGACAGTTTCTGTTAAAGCCAAGAGGAATGCATGAGCAGAGTTGAAGTAATACAGTGTGCATACACCAAATTCACAAACAGATACACTTTAAAAAAACCCAAAATACACAGAAGGCTATCCAGTTACTACAGCACAACAAAGTAGAAGATCTGCGTCAGATTCCTCATGCTCCTCTTTCTCCCACAAGACGGGACTTTGAGAGCCAGAGCGATTAGCTTATTAGCATTTTAGCTGTAAACATTCATTGGCTGTGACCGCCCTCTAACCATCACTGTGCCATTATCATTAGTCATCATAATGTCTGTCTGGCAGTAAGTCATCCGATGCGAAGAGTCGGGTGGATGATGGTTATCACGGTGTTACCCAAGGCACTCGAACCAGCAGCCATTTTGTTTCATTGTCAACGCAGGCCAGCTGTTTGTTTTGTTCTTGTTTTCATAATTCAAAATGTTCAGCGCTTGACTGTCGTGTCTCCTCGCAAGTGTTTTAGAAACACAAAGGGAAAGAGTCAAGCTGCAAGAATACATCTCAGTGTCATGAGTCGAGCACGTGTCCAGAGAAAGAGAAAAAAGGGTAAAAAAAAATCGGGGGTTGTCTGGTGAGGCAGGAACAAATTTCTTCTTAGAGTAGAGAATTTTCCATTTGTCGGTTTTCTGCAGGGATGAGAAACACAGAGATGAGTTTCACTTTTAGATAAAAAGACATTTCACACTTGAGTGTCATTCTGAAATTGTCATTCCACTGAAAGTCTTTGAGATGTGTGTTGAGAGATTATAAAATGAGTCCACAAGCAAACAAACACTTCTGTTTAGTGGAAAGTGGAAAAATCCCTACAGCTCCTTAACTTTTCCTCTCTTGTTTTAACAAGCAAATATTTCATCCGGAGCGTTCTCAGTTCTCCCTAATTACAGTGTGCCTTTCCATGCTTCAAGAAAAAGACACACAGAAAGAGAAACAAGTCCAGAAAGAAAGAGTCAGACACATGTTTGTGGGTGTCATCCCATCACATGACTTTCATTATGCCATAAAAGCGTGAATGTGTAAATTGTCATGTAATGTAAGAAAGTGCAGAGCAACCTCTGTTCTGGTGTTTCTTTTGATTTTTTTCTTCTTTTTTTTTTTAAACTAAAGTTACTTTTGAAACATATAATATTTAAAGTTACAACGCTTAAGATTTTCATGAAATCAAACATATTTTTTTATACTGCAGTAGCCATTTATTATATTTAGATTCAGTAATTACCTCTCTGTAGTTTTTATTGGTAATGGCGGAGTCCGCCACGACTGCACTGGATTCAGATTGCCTACCTGAGCACAAGAGATTCACAGAAAAGAATAATTAAAGTAAACACATTTAAAGTTTTTTGGGAGCATTTCTTTTTATTTTATACATTAAAAAATTATTGAAACATTTTAAATTGCACCTGACTCACATAACTCTCTCTCTCTCTCTCCTGTTTCTACGAATTGTACGAGCATGTAAATGTTTGATAGATCCAGATGCATTTTGGATCTTTTGGAAGTTATGTGGCGTTGTGTTGCCTACGTGTCAACCCAGTAGTCAATCCTCCATGGCTCTCTGTCCCTGCAGCTGTCTCAGCAAGGCCAACACACATACAGATACAAGCACATGTGCATAGTGCAGTCAAATGTACACACACTAACACACACACACACACACACACACACAACCCTCCCACCTGCACTCAGCTCACAGTTTGGCTCTCTAAAAATAAAGATGACTATCAGAAGCCACAACTTCTGGATGAGGCTTTTAAAACGCAGATGAGCCGCAGAGGACTTTACATCTGGTCTCAGATCAGTCCGGAGTCAAAGCCAGTGATTTAATATGCACAGAAGAGCATCCAACAGCTGGTCAGTCCAAACTGTAAAACACACACACATGCGCGGACGCAGCAGAGCCAGAGGTTCCGGCAGAGGAAAGAGCAGTGACAGGCATTTTGATTATAGTATAAACAGAAGGGAGAGTATTGTTTTTTCCAACTCAAACAGAACAATATCTCTTTATTCTGAAAGTCTCATTTAGTGCCAGACACCCACAATTCCTAAAATCATGCTCATCAAGAAGCACAGGACTGTCTGCTGTGTATTCATGTTTATGTGTGTGCTAATATAGACTCACAAGGCTCTTCAACACTAAAAGTACAAAATATTAGAGATATCCATAAACCCAAGTCAAACCAATTATTTTCTTACCAAAAAACTACGTTTGGTGGGACACCTTACAATTTACAGCAATCCAATACATCAACATAAGTTACAGCCTCAACACAAACTCAACACAAACTAAACATTATACACTTTGATGTATTGTCAAGTGTTCCAATTATTTTGTCCGCCTCATATATAACACCTACCATAGAAGAGAGGTGGATAAAGAGAAGCAGAAGATTTTCAAGCTTTCAGAAAACTTTGAAGCTGCAACTTTAATATTCAGACATTCTGGTGGTATTCACACACACACACATATGCACACATGTCTTTGATGTCTCTTAGCCTCTTTCGAACTTCACCTCTTTCCTAAATTACGACGTTCGGGTCAGTTTCAGGCCTTGAATTTCTAGCACTTTCTACGGTGGCCCCTGCAGAGCTGATGATAACAGGCAGAGCAGGCAAAGTGGTAGGTAATAACTACCGCGTTGCATTCAAGGACACTCTGCTCCACGTGCAGGGGCCTTGGCATTCCATCCACAGCACTGACTGGAGCCCTCAACGTCTGCTGCAGAGGCCACTGGAGGTTTAGTAATAATGCAGAGTGGAACACCTGCAGTGTGCACATGGCCGGCGGCTGGGTGTGTGTGTGTGTGTCTGGACAGTGTAATGTATATATGTGTTGTAGGCAGCCTGTGTAATAGTACTTGTAGTATTGTTTGTGATTCACTGATTCCTGCGTGGTGAATAATATGCAACTCTGTGCGAATGCTTGTAATCATTTATATGTCTGCTCAGAGATCTGTGTCAGTGTGTGTGTGTGTGTGTGTGTGCCTGTTTGAAATGTGTTTACCTCGACCTGCCATCTAGCTGATGAAAAAGTGTGTATTTCCCGCCAGCACAGCAACACACATTCATCTGCACACTGTCTCTGCACCTCATCATGTTTCAGCCTGTCGCTCTGTTTTCATTTAAATGCTTATCTTGTATGTTGTCATTTTATTTGAAGGACTTCCTGGCTGCCTCTTTGCAAAAAAATGAAACTGAAACTCTTATGAAACTAAAACCAAGAGACGGGAGAGATAAAATCACTAAAACAACATCTGCAAGTGTATTCCTGTTTACTAATCTGCAGATGTGCTCACATATACACACTCACACATGCTTGTGCGCGCTGCTGCACAGGTAATTAAAGCTCACTACAAACACATACACAAATACACACTGGTGCACATGTACATGCGCTGACACACACAGGCCCGTGTGCCTGACCCTAACCCTGGTACACACACCTTCCTAATACCTCACAACTGTTTCCAATCTAAAGGTTCCTGCTTGTCTGGGCCCCGGCGGGGCCTGATTGCACGATACAAGATCCTGACGAGAGAGGGCAAGGCTGCAGGGGAGAGAGAGAGCGAGAGAGGGAGAGAGGGAGAGAGATGTGCCTCCACTTATTTCTCTGCACTCTCCCTTTCTTTTCCTCCTTTCATGCTGTACCTGTGCAGGAATCTGGTGTCTGTTAAAACGGTTGAAAAAAACCAGACCCTGTGTGAAGTCGATCCTACAGATTCTGGAGGAAAACATTTGTCTTAAATACATCAGAGGTCTGTCAAACACTGGGGAGTTTAGATTACTATGGTGATAATGTGCAGCTAGTTCATTTTAGTTAAAAAAGTGAAACAACCAAGGTGCTTAAAAATGCTTTCTTTTAATCAGTGCTCAACCAACATGAGAGATTTGTTCATATGCTGGATGTGTTTGGATTTCTTTTATTTCTCTTTACTGATATTTTGAAACTATCTTTTTGTATTATAACTAATTTGTTGATCGTTTTTAAATGTATAATTTCATGTTAAGCATCTTGTAGTACACGAATGTTTTAAGTTATATATTACATGTAGGTTTGTTTGGATCCATTTTTTACTTGTGGTCATATTTGTATTTTTTAAATTCCTTATTTGTAAAGTAAAGGTCCCATGACAGTTCTGCATCCAAAAGAATAATTTGCAAACCAACACTTTTAATTTTATTTGATAACTTACTGGATGTTGTCTGAGCTTCATAACATTTATTAACCAAATAGGTTTTTATGTAACATAAACAAATAAATATCAGCCAATAATTAAACATATTACACTTACTACACTATTACACAAAATCAGTAAAAAGTAATAATAATAAATAAATAAAATAAGTTTAACAGTTGGAGTGATCAGTGATCAATTTCATTTTTTAACTTTTGTAACTACTGAAGATAATTGTTACAACAATTTTTAACGAAACATTTTCACATTAGAACATCAGAATTAGATATATAATTGCTTTATAATAAAGCTGAGATTATCTTTTGCCAAAATATATTATATACCTTGGACAACAATTTTTTTGTATTTACGTACAAATTCTAAGTTTCAAAATCTAAAACTACCCAAAGTTCATGATGTACTGATACACCTGAATTCAAAGTTAAACAAAACTTTATAAATTGTAAATATCAAAACAAATAAGTATTGTATGTAAACAAAGGCACACTCAGCATGTGCTGATGTGTTTCAGTCACACACATTTTAACTGGTTACAAATCTACGGGGATTTTATTATTAATTTATAAATTAATCTCTTAATGCAGAATTATAAATGTGCAACAACTTCGCTTTAAATTCTTGAGTCTGAATACATCTGTGATTTCATAATGTGCTGCATGTCTCACAATGATTTATAAAATCAAAGTTTGGAATATGTTCCTGTTTTTATTTAAACAGGACATTTTAAGAGATCTTTTAATAAGTGACAGATTTGTAGATGTTTTTCAAATTCATGCCTTTGTAGTTTGTTTGTGAAATGCATATGCAGTATTTATTTGTTGAGCTACAAATAATGTACTGAAACACAGACTATTTTGAAAATGGGAAGAAATACACATTAAACATGTATATATCCATATCCATGTGCTGATGACATGAAGTGTGTGTACACGTGTGCATGTTTGAGTGATTTTTTTTATGTGTTCATGCATGTATTTGTACTGACTGTGTAAGTGTTTGTGTGTGTGT